TACAGGGGCAGCCTTGTCGGCTGCGTACATCATTATGCTTTGAATAGTGGCGGCCTTGTCGGCTCGCGTATGCTGTTATGGTTGAATGGTTATGACTCCTTATGAGACAGGTCCTCTTATATATATATATATGACGTTGGAGTTGGCTTGATTTGATTAAATTCCATATTGTCTTAGTTTTAGTTGGTCATACTTAGCAGGTTTGTATGTGGGTGTCCAAAACGGGCACTAATCACGGCCTATCGGGTTGGGTCGTGACATCATGATGTTCAGAGGCATAAGTAATATGCAAGAGGGGGTCACCGTGTTCATGTGAATTCATGCTACACTCGTGAAATCATATATAGTTGTGTTACATTTTATATTTTTTTGTTAAATGTAGATGTGTGAATCCACACTCGAAATATCATAAAACGCAATGATGACAAGGTGCATCACTCACAGACAGGGGCGGAGCTATGACATGGCAAGGTTGATGAGATGAACAACCTTCATCGGAAAATTTTTCCGTATATAGCTTGACACAATAAAGGTTGACAGTCCAGTGGTTAAGGCCGTACAAAGTTGCCTTAGCGTCGCGGGTTCCAACATAAGTGTTGGCATTATCTTTATTTCTTTTTCATTATTCCATTTTTTCTCTTAGAAAAGACAAAATTTAGCCTGAGATTGAACATTTCATTTATTAAATATTTGGACCGTTTTTCTCTTAAGAAAAAGTACAAAAGTTATCTTTTTTAAGTTAATAAAAATAAAAGGAAACAAAAGGTACAATTTGACTTTTTTTAATATTTTTTAAATATAGTTGTCTTTTCCTTTTAATTTTCTCTTCTTCTCCCAAAACCCTTTACAACTTAATCTTTGCCATTCTCTCTTCTCAACTTTCATACATACTTACAAGTTTTATGAAATTGGAAGCTTTAATCATTGTATATTTTTTCCTCAACCGCCATTAAAGTTTGAAAAGTTATTTCTTAAATCTTTTTTCCCTTTAGTTTAGTTTTTTCTAATCATGTATTGAAAGACTTGATCTTAAATTTTTCTTTTAAAAGCTACTTTATTTATTTGAGTATGGATCAACTATTTCATGTATTGTGGATGAATTTTAATAAGTTTGGTATACTTGACTACTATTTTAGTTTGGAGTTCAATTAGTTTGGAGAAATATTTTTTTAAAGCAGCCAAAACAAGTTTGGCGTCTCAAAATCAAAACCAACTACGTCAAGATGAAAATTTCAACCAAATAGATGACTAGCAATGTTTATTTTTTTTACTTGTCCTAAAATATGAACACCTTTGACGAATATCTTGGCTCCGCCATTGCTCAGAGAAGTTAGAAAGTTTTCTAAAATTGCGCAACACCCCTTAAAGAGGTTATTGATAGCACCTTTTGGTGTTTCAATTAATTAAATATTTCAATTTTGGACCTATAATTTTAAATTTTTAAATATTTTCTATAATAAGAACCTAAATGTCAAATCAATTAGATTCACATTTGTATAATAATACATCCATCATTTCAAAATCTTAAATAAAGCTCTGAATTTGATTTTGATGTTATGATGATTAAAATGGTTATACAAATTATCAAAGGCTTATTGATATATATTTAAGATGAGTTTAGACAAGTGAGAAATATTGCAGAAGGGAAGAGTAAATAAGTTTGTTATTATAGAATGATGATGGAGAATATTGAAGGAAAACAAATTTATTATTATTAGTGAAGACACATGTAAAATAGAAATAGAAATAAAATAAATTTGTTGGTGGTGGATCACGGGTTGTGGTGGTGAGGGTAGAGTCGAAGGGGGAGGCCGTTGGCGGGAATGGGCATTGGATTGACTATGATTTTCTCATGTGGAATAATTTTTTCAAACTTGAACCTTTTAACAAGATGGTGCATGAAAACAAGAATTTCTAAACGAGCATATTCTTTTCCTGGACACATTCTTGGTCCTCCACCAAAAGGTACAAATGTGTATGGTGCTGGTCCGCTTCCTTCAAATCTTGATGGGTCAAATTTTTCTGGATCTGGAAAAAATTCTTCTCTCTTATGTGTAGAATTTGCACTCCAATAAATCTACATACGTATAAATATAAATATTTATTATTATTAATCAACAAACTATATCATTCGATCTAATGTTTATACAATCATTTTCTTAATTACCTTCCATCCTTTGGGTATATAGAAACCATTGAACATGAAATCAGAAAGGGCTTCCCTAAAAGCACCTTGGAGAGGTGGTGCAAGTCTTAAAACTTCACATGCCACATTCCATGAATATTTCATCTTTTGGATGTCTTCCCACCTCAATAATTCCCCCGGACCCTTTGATTTTGCTATCTCCATTTGCTCTATATATAACAGAAATAAATAAATTAATATAATACAAATCATGGTGCGTGGTAGCTTGATGTGAAATTAAAGCACATTAATTAGTTACCTGTGTAAACTCGTTGATAAATGTGTGGAAGCTCAGCAAGATACTTAACAATGAAAGAACAAGCAGAACTAGCAGTATCATGTCCACCAATCAACAAGCCTAGTATTTTATCAGCAATATCCAAGTCCCCCAAAAATTTCCCATTTTCATCACATGTTAACAACATATGTGACAATATATCTTGTGTTGATGATACTTTCCCCTCACCTAAATCAATCTTCCTTTGTTTTATAATCCTCACTAGCTCTTTCCGTATAAAATTTGAAGCCTTAATTGCGCGATTGAACGGTGTTCCAGGCAAATCTATAGGTATTGAAATCAATCCAGAAGCCAAAACATCAAATGGGTCAGCAAATTTTGCTACATGCTTAGGATCCTCCACGCTTAAAAACAATCTACACGCTAACCAAAAAGTGTAACGTTTTGTTAATGGGAAAACCACAACTTGCTCTTTATTTTCCCATCCCGTAGCAAAGTGACGTTGGGTTATGTGGTCCATAATACCAACGTAACGTTGCAATGCTTCAGGTTTGAAAAAATTAGGGAGCATTTTTCTCATTTTAATTGCTTCTTCTTTCGAAGAAGTTTGTGTTGAAGATGGGAACACTTTGTTCACTGAATTTGGCCACCATGCTTGTACTAACTTGTTTTCGTTTGAAAATAAGAATTTATTGGCTGATGCACCACAAAAAACCGCAGCTTCTTCACCTAGAAGGTGAGTTTTGAACACACTAGATGAGTACTTAGCCACACGATCAAAGATGAATTTTTCAGGGTGGCCTTTCCAACCACTCGACAGAAACTCGAGGCTCTCTCCAAATACAGGCCACCCTGTTTTACCCGGAGGAAGCCCTTCTCCGGATTTCTTCTTGTACAAGAGCAACAGGGAAACCAAAAAAACAAATACACAAACAAGACAGACATACAACAACTCCATATCTTTCTTTTTTTCTTTCTAACAAATAACACAAGAAATGTTCTTTGTGTGACTTGCGCTGTTTTGTTGATGTATGCGAAAAACTAAGGGAGTATATATAGGCATGTATAATATGTGAGGTTCTTTATTTTCTATTCGTTATTTATAATAGTGGAGGTAGTGGGGAACCCATAGCTCAATTTTCAAGTCAAAATGCATACAACAATTTTGGCATATATTAATTACGTAGACCCAAATTAGTGTAAATGGGTTGGTGTTAAATCCTCAATGGTATATGCCCTTAATTTTAATTAAAAAATATTATAGTTTAAGGGAATTAATTAACGGTCACAAATTGTAAAATCAACAAAGTGACCTTTTAAAGTGGTAAAACCATTTAACAAAGTGACAAGTAGAACTCATGCTCATGCTACTAGTAAATATCTTATTGTTTTCTAGTCGAATCGTATATTATATTGATGGCTGTGGAGTTTTACCTAAACTTCTTGCATTTAATTGTTTATATATTAAATAGTAGGAAAACTTTGGAGTTTCACCTAATAAATACTACAAAGTGACACTTAAATTTTTGGGCATTCACAATACTACAAACTCATTTATATTACTGTTTAGGTCAATATTTATTTATTTATATTTGACATAATATAAATAAAATTATAATTTTATTATTTTACTTCTAATTATTAATTTATTATAAATGTTGGCAAATGAATTGGAAAATTATAAAACTTAACAATAAAGATAAAGAAGATATAAAAATATAAATTATATTTTAAATTTAAAAATAAATATTTACTTTTAATATAGTGAACAATGAAAGAGTACGCAGTTTTCTATCATTAACAAAGTAGAGGTAAACTCAAAACATGTGATACAATTATTGATAATATTCTAAACAGATTCACAGTATACATAATTCGAATGGGAGTTATCTTTAAAAAAAAATTGGATGTTGAGGGGTTAATTGTGAAATTTAGAAAATTGCTGGCCAATAACAAGCAATCCATTCTATTGTTCCATATATGACCATATAATTATTCATAATCCTGTGTTTTTGTGGTTTTGTGAAACAACAAAACAGAGTATCTTTTCCTACCACCCACCTATTGGGTACCCACAATTTTTTTAATTTTTTTTGGTGCCCTGTACTCACATTAGAGTATCATGACTCATTTTAGGAAAAAATTTTACTAAATTTTTTTTATATTCAGAAATAAAAGTCGAAATCTTTGTCTAAAGAAAGAAAAATAACATTCACTTCACTCAACCCTTTAGCCGGTAACCCACAGAATTTGGTAAATTTTGATGAAAAGTTTGTAGCAGTAATAGGTTAGATTCAATAAATGGTATTCATTAGGATTCTATATATTTGTCACTTTGGTTTAAAGTAATTATTATTTATAAAATCAAGATATAATTAATTAATTAATTTTTTCTCCAATTTAGATCTCATTTATTTTGGTGTACAATATTGCATTTTCAAAATGTGTTAAGTTATTTTGTTTGGGTGTATATCATATTTAGATATTGTATCTACCAATGGATTTAATGTGAAAGGCTTCACCAATATTTTATGTTTTGTTCAGGACTTCCTATATATCTCAAGGCATAAAGGCTAGTTTATATTTAACATTGCAAAGTTAACATAAATTTCTTTGAATGAAAAGAAAATACGAATGACATTAAAGATGAAATATTTAAGATTGTTGGTAATTTTGTTATTTATTTCAATGAACTTCTAAAATTTGTGTAATTTATGTCATTTGAAAGTTGTTAGTCCTATGTTTTAAAAAAGAATGATCTATTTTTATTTGACACAAAGTTTAATTGAGAAAAAAAAAAGAATTTCAGATCTTATAATTTTAAATTAAAGTCATGTAAAATGTACAAAAATACTTTTTAATTTTACAGTCTAAAACATATTACGAGGAAAGTTAAATTTAAAGTATTACCAAAAAAAAATTATTCTTTTTTAAATAAACTAAAAAGAAAAATATGTTATTCTCTTACAAACTTAATATTGCATTAAAAGAATTTTTGTTGTGTAAAATTCTACTCAAGTGCAATCATTGGTAGCATTTTTACTTATTTAAGTAATTAAATAAAAATAATACCATAATAGTTATTGTCAATACGAGATGTACAAAGTTGCCATCAAATCCACCATGACTTTGGCCGTAGGCCCTAGCGCAGTTTTGTCTCATTTGATTTTTGTTCACTACATCTAACTGCAATAACTAGTTTTTCCACTTTAAAACCTAGGGAAAAGAGGGGAGGGGTGGGGGGTTCACATAAGTGGATTTGTATGTATTTGAGATACATAAATAAATATTGATTGTTATTCTTGTACCTCGCTCACATATCCGGTAAGGGTAAACAAAATCGAACTGAAAATCACATCAAATCAAAAATCTAGTCAGATCGAAAAAAATTTCGACTATATTTGAATATTGATTTGGTTTTAAATTTTTTAAGTCATCCCGAGACCAAACCAGGAACTTATTATTATATATAATTTTTTAAAATTTATTTTCTACATAAAAAAAAACTATGTTGACATAATTATAAATATTCTTATATTTGTCATAGTTTTTATGTTTAATATATTATTTTAATTGACTTAAAATTTTGAATAGTTCAATAAAGGTTTTAGTTCATAGATATAACTAACTACAATGAAACTCAGCTGAAAATCAAATCAATACTAATCCTAACAAAAAAGAATTAATTCAACACTAAGAATTACAATAATGTTGAATATCTATTCTTTAGTCTTACATTGGTACAACTAAAATACATAACCTAATTTTAGTTTTTCTTTAATATTTAGTCGTTTTATCAATACTTATTAGACTTAGACTCTGTTTGATATAGCTACTAAAAACTAACTTATTTTTAGAAACACTTTTTTTTAAAAAAATGACTTTTAAAAAAAGTGCTTTTGAAAAAAGAAAACCAATTTGTCTTTGGGTATTTCATTTGAAAAGTGTTTTTCATAAGCAAGTTGTGTTTGGGTAATATTTTTTAAAAAAAATTGCTTTCAAGTATCGAATTACAAAAAGGACAACTAAGGCTACCCCTTAGAGTAAACGGGACCTAGGATCACGACCCCAAGTTAACCCTGAGTTGGCATATCATAACTATACTAAAAGATTACATAAGAAATATATCACGCGAAAGCTTAGAACACCTCATTTATCATTCATGTATTAAGTAGGGACAACTAGGTCTACCTAAACAAGACACCATATCAACATATAGAGACTCTTCATAGTCTATAATCATCACATACCAACAAAGGAAACATGTTTTCACTCACATTATCACATAACTTTATACAAGTTCATCTTATTATTATATCACCACTCAACAATATACCTATCTTCGACATAACATCATAACCAACCTTCAATTCACATCATAGAGATATCAAGATCACAATCAAACAAGAACAAGAAGTAAGCACCTCCACTAGAAGTGGATTAAACCATACAAGAGCAATTCAACAAGATCTAGAACAATTTAGGTGTTGATACTCAATTTTAACTGACCTTTAACCATATTTTTAGGAATACTATTCAATTAAATGCGTATTTAAAAGTTTAAAGTTTTATTCGATTTTTCTCAAACTATATATTTTAGTATCGTTTACTTTAAAAAATTATCTTAAATATTATTATAATATTTTAAAATTATTAATGAATTTCAAATATTTCAAAATTTAAATAATTTTCAATTGTATAAAAATATTTTAATATATGTAGTATTTTAATTAAATAGTAATTCCTACACTTTCCTTAAAACTATTTAAATTCTAGCGTATTCTATTATAATTTCTTTCAATTCTAGCTACTCCAATTAAATTTTATTTCAATCATAGCCCCTCTTTCATTTCAATTCTATCCAATTTAATTGCATTTTTAGCCATTCCATATCTTGTCTCATCTAATATTAAGACTTCATCTCATCCATCCATCTTAAAAATAAATCCTAGATCGAATCCTAACCCTCCATCTCTATCTAATCTAACAGTTGTGATTAAATCTCCTATTCTCTTTCTTCAACACCAAAAGACCCCAAAACCTAAAACATTTTT